CCTCGCTCCGACGCTATTCGCACTGCTCGTCCAATCCTGCCACGCCTGCTTGCGTCGCTTGTCACTGACCCTACTGCTCCTCCTGAGTCTGTCTCTACGCTGGTCGCTGCTGTCGCTGACTTTGCTGCTACCCACCACCTTGATTACCCTGCCACTCTGGTCTCTGGTACTGTCCGTCCTCCGTCCGTCGGGGGTGCACCTGCCCTTGGCAATGACGTGCTAGAAGACAGGCAGTACGAGTTGGCCTACCTTGCTGCCGCTGTTCCCCATCTCTGCTCCATGTTTGTATCCCCAGAGGGCGACCCAGACGCTCTCGACATTCCTGTTCTGCACTCTTCCACTGAGGCGGTGTTGGGGCCCTAGGCAGCCTAGTGGATACAGGCCATGGAGACTGAGATGGCATCCTACAGATCCACTGGCACATACGTTGACGCAATTCCCCCGCCTTGGGCGAATGTAGTCGATGGCATGTGGATCTACAGGGTGAAGCGCGCACCTGGAGAGCCGCCGAAGTTCAAGGCGCGTTACGTGGCTAGAGGCTTCAGACAGCGTAAGGGAGTGGACTTCTTCCAGACCTTCTCCCCGACCCCGAAGATGACTACACTTCGGGTCCTTCTTCATATAGCCACACAGCGTGACTACGAGCTTCACTCACTCGACTTCTCCGCAGCGTTCCTGCAGGTTAGTCTGCACGAGCAGATCTACCTCCGGTGCCCTCTAGGCTTCTCTGGGTCCTTCCCACCTGGGACCCAGTGGAGCCTGCGCCGTCCTATCTACAGCCTTCGTCAGGCACCCCGTCAGTGGCACGACACGCTTCGCACCACTCTTGCTGAGCTGCAGTTCTTTCCATCCTCTGCTGAACCCTCTCTCTTTGTTCGCACGGGTCAGACACCGTTCTACATTCTAGTGTACGTAGACGATCTTATCTTTGCTACTCCCGACAGAGTCGCACTGGCCTCAGTGAAGGCCGAGTTACTTAGGAGACACACCTGTACAGACTTGGGGGAGCTGAGGCGCTATCTGGGCTTGGAGATCTCTCGTGACCGTGCTGCTCGCACGATCACACTCTCCCAGTCCCATATGGTACAGCAGATCCTTCAGAGGTTTAGTCTCCAGTTCTCCTCAGCACAGCCCACCCCCCTGCCTGTGGATCACAAGCTCTCTAGTCCTGTTCCGGCTGAGCCGGTCAAGGCTAGTGGTCCATACGCAGAGCTGGTAGGGTGCCTCATGTACCTGATGACCTACACTCAACCAGATATAGCGTACTCTCTCACTCTCCTTGCTCGCTTTGTCGCGACAGGTAGGCACCGACCAGTCCACTGGTCGGCTCCCAAGAGGGTACTGCGGTATCTGGCGAGCACATCAGGACTGGGGCTTGTGCTAGGAGGACGGGAGCTAGTGGTGCTCACTGGACACACAGACGCATCATGGGCAGACGACTTGGAGACGCTCATGTCGACTCAGGGCTACTGCTTTAGTCTTGGTGCTGGTGCAGTCTCGTGGAGGTCCACCAGGTCGTCGTCTGTAGCTCAGTCTAGCTGTGAGGCAGAGATTTACGCTGGGGCCATGGCTGCTCAGGAGCTCCGCTGGCTGACGTTCTTGCTCACTGACTTAGGTGAGCAGCCTAGGTCTGCCCCGGTCCTGTTTGCTGAGAACAGGGCCATGATCCTCTTGTGTCAGGAGGCCTGACATGAGGGCAGAGCGAAGCACATCCAGCTGCGGCACTTCCTGCTGCGAGAGTTGCAGCAGCGCGGTCAGGTCCGTGTAGTACAGTTGACCTCAGAGGCCAACACCGCTGATATCTTCACCAAAGCACTTGCGTCTCGTGACCATCAGCGGTTCTGTACTCAGCTTGGTCTAGCCTCAGTAGCAACACCTCTCCTTGTATCCTGAGTCATACTATACTTGCCTGTACTTGTTGTGTTATACCGGCTTGTCTTGCTACACTTGCTGACTGGCCTTGTGGCCTCTTTTCTCAGTGGTCAGACTAAAAGTACTGCCCTGAGTTTTCTTATTACACTCATCAGAGGTCGGACTAGTAGTGCTGCCCTGGTGTACTTTTCTTTGTTAGGAACTGCCACTATCTTGGCTAGGGGGTGTGTCAACAAATATAATTGTCTATGCTAGGTATAGTATTTTTGTTATAGCCTTAGTTAGGTCAGTTCTTATAAGGTACATTCCCACCTTTGTAACCCTCAGCCTTCCTCCCTTAGTCCACTTTTCTCTCGACATTCTAACAAATATAGCCGACCTGGTCGCATAAATTCTTGAAACTGCTGGTGTAGTCCTGGACCAATCCGAGTTGGTGCCACGTGCGAAGGTGGTCGCGCACCTGATTGTTTGCATTGACGCGTTCGAAGCGGCGACGAATTCTCGCGCACCACGATTGCCGCGTGTTGTACTCGTCAATCTCGCAATAACTTCCTACCCAGTGATTGGTCGTGTGAAAACACCCGATCGCGCGCGGCGATGTATCTGGCTCCTGTGACTGAATTAGCTGTTGTCACCAATCCATAGCCGGTCTATGTAGGAGCGACATATCGTATCAGATTTTTTGTACGTCGTCGGTGACGAGATTGCAGTTGTAAAAATCATTCAGGTAAAAAATCCACCCGCTCACGCACAAGCTATCACGCTGGCTCGGGTCGAACGTGGACGACCTCTGTGTCTTGAGAATACGTGGTGCCATGTTGATGTTGGCAGTTCGGAGAAGTAATTGGTGACGGCCGGTTTATGTTTGTCCTTCCGCCGATTTTCGCTCGTCCAAAAGCCGGTGGCGGGTTGTTCGTCGAACTCTTGGGCGAAGTCGCAGGTCGTCACTAATTGTTACCAGGTATTTCGGAATGCTGCTGGGGTACATGCTCCTGTTGTCCTTGATTTGTCGTTGGCGTGGTCGTGTTGTGTCGTGTCTCCGAAGTGCAGATATCTCAGATTCGGCTTGGGCCCTTTCCGCTCGCAGACGCTCCAACTCCTGCTGGTACAGCTCGTGAGTAAGACGGACTTCATCGAGTAGTGCCGCCCTTTCCTCATGAGTCATACTGGTAGATGCCTATGGATCCACCATTTCGCGGAAAGTTTTGGGCGGCTTTCGGCACGCTGGCAATGCGAACACAGTCGTGGATATATGTAATTATCAATGAATATTACCAGCACAACAGATATGCAATAAGCGCACGGTGTCAGCCTCCCTAAGTGTCGGTATTGTAGCGGAACTAGAGCGCTAGGCTGAGGATCGTTGGCTCTGATGGCCAGGTGTAATAAAGCGCAAAGAGCGTGTGTTGAAGGGTTGAGTAACGAGGGAACAATACAACTAAGGCAATATAAAATACAGCGGGGAGCATGGATATAGCTAGCCTAGGAGCACACGGTCGTGGCTCGGCAGAGCTGCCATGTGTGGTTCGTAAAATGGCGCGGAGCGCCTAGATCTATGCATGCAACAGGAAGGCGGGCAACAATGTATGCGGCTCGTCAGGAGACCACAGTTGGGACTGCAATGTGAATTTCGTGGCAGAGCTGCGCGGCAAACCCGTTATAGCAGTGTACACCTTATTGGCCAAAACCCGCTATAAGGAAATTCCATTTCCTTACATAATATAGAGATCTTATGTTGATGGATGTATATTGTTGACAAAGAAACCAATTCATAAGGGAGCCCACGACATCCAGTATGGAATAAGATTACGAGGCCAGGACATTTGTTGATGCTATCTCGCAAGGGTGTGAGACTATGAAATTCTTCAGAATAGATCCGCATGATATTTGTATGAATTAGATGCGCAATAATCAACAAAGAGCCCTCCTTTCAAATGGATTGTTGTGCACTTCTGTACTTAGGAGGTAGCTCGTGTATCTTGTCCTGCAATACAAACACGAATATCCCTAGTCTGCTGTTAGCGACGACGCGCATATTCAACCTGCCTTCTGCAGCATCATCGCCAACAGTTAGCATCTTTGCTGGCAAAAGCGACGGCACACACACACACACAGATGAAACAGAACCTGACTGCTAACCAGTCACGTAGGGACAAGTCAGCGATACAGATTCATTATGCATCCACCCCTGACATGCATCCCCGACGTTCCGGCCCGGCCCAGCTCCTCACTCCGAGGCCTCCCTCGTCTCGCCCATGGCCCTTCATGGTTGGGGTGGGGGTGGTGCCATCTGCTTGTACACAGTAAACCTCGTTTGTCTCAAATCACGTAGCATCGAAACACGGATACAGTCATTGCCCAGATCGGCTTCTGATCACATCGTGAGATGGAATTTCACATTGCCCTGGACCAAATATGGCTTATTGTGGAAAAAAACACAGGCAAAAACGGGTTGAGACAGCCCCTTTAAACTTCCCCAGACATCCAAACCAATGTCAACACATCCCACAGAGTCACGTGAACACCCATCCATGAGCTCGCCAAGCACACAGGGAACTCGCGTGACCTCAGGTCTGCTCACGACGGTGCAGGAACGTCTCAGGTTCACACTCGTCACTCCAGAGTACACCACCACTGCTTCGGGTGCTCGGCAAATACCCCCGGCAGTCGGTTCCACGCCCTGTCACGTACAATCACATTCCACTAAAAACAAATGTAGACAGCCTGACATAAACGCTTGATTTTAACGAGGTGTGGGGTGTACGATCACGCAGAAAAATAGGGGGAAGTTACCCCCGTCCCGTCCCATTCTGTCCCGTCCCCAACCACCTCCTCCCCCGCCGCCCACCCGCCCACCCTCCCCCCCCCAACTCGATTGTCCAACTTCGCTCCCCAATTTGCTCCTTTTCGCCCCCGACCTCCCCTTCCTGCCTCCCCTCCCCTCCCCCAAGAGGATAACACCCAAATCCTCCACCCGCCACAAGCGGGGCCAGATTCATCCTGCCCAGGAACACCTGGCTGAGAACAGCCGCAGAAAGAGAGCCGCGATCCGGTGAATCAGCGCTGATGTGGACTGAGCATATCGATCCTCCTCATGCGCTTTTGGCTCTTGCACTATGCTACCGTCACTGTCAGCGCAAGAGCGCTCTTTCGGATCACACAGAAGCAGCTTTTATCTGGCGATCGAAGTCAGTATTCTCATTTCGGCCTGCTTTATCCGATCAGCGGTTGTGGGGACCATCTCTTGGCCTCTCTACCTGTGATCATCGTCACGCGTTGCCTGTAGACCGCTGTGCCTGGACTGGAGCGTCATTGTTAGCGCAGAGCATCGCCGCGGCGTCGTCCGTGTCCTGCTCCTTACGAAGACTTGCTTGCGATCCTAACGCAACGAACTTATAGCGCACGGGGTTAAAGGTCCCGCGTTTCGAACTGCGTCTCTACCCGCCGACCCAACGTCAAGCGTATCTACCGGCAGTCGAGATGGTGCGAAGCCTCCCCGCCTCCCTACCAAAGGAGCAGGGTACATCCCCTCTTCTCCTTTCCTGAATCCATTTCTCCCTCCCTTTTCCAGCATCCCCGCACATCCTTTCTTCATTCCGCGCAGTGATCCAAATGCGTTTCATTTAATTATATCATTATATAAGTGTCTAACCCTACGCTGCTCTTTCTTGCAGGGAGGCGACAGTCCCGAGCCGGCGCCAGGGCCAGCGGGGGAGCTGGAGTGCGCCGTCAACGGGGGAAGCGGGGCAGAAGCGCTGTCATGGAGGGTCGGCGGAATGTTCGGCATTCTTGTATGCAGCATGTGAGTACTACAATCAAATACTTGCCTTGTGTTAGCCACGGGTGATCGTCGCCGGAAAGCTTCTAAATTTGCATCCGACACTAAGCTCTCTAGAGTACTAAGTGCTTTCCGAAGATCCTGATTGTCGTGAATGCTGAATCGATATCAATTTTCTTTCCCCAACTCCGACAGAATTGGCTTCGCGTTACCGTATCTGCTCCGTAAGCAACATCGGACGGTTCTCTTCTTCTTCCGAACCTTCGCGGCAGGCGTGGTGCTTGCCGTAGCTATCGTCCATATTTTCCCAGGTACGTTAATTTTTTATTGATGTGCTGCTAAGCTGGAAATTTGAGCTAACATGGAGCTAACTTACAATGTCCACTTCGAGGCGGCGGCCCTGTGAGATTGTCATCAGTTATAATGGGAGAGAAAAATTATGGCTCATATGCTCATACTATGCTCCATCCCCACTCGCTTTACCTTCTCCCGTCCGCAGGAGCACAAGAAGCGCTCTCCAACCCCTGCTTGGGTTTTGCGGAGGAATTTCCGTGGGCGTCGATTTTCGTCCTCTACGCGGCCCTGATTTCCTTTGTCGTGGAGTGTTACCTGAAGAAGGTTCTTCTGAAAACGCTGCAGTCTAATAACGCGAAAAATCACGCGCCAGCGGAGGGCGAGTGCGTCGAGTGCGGGTTGAACACGGAAGAGGATGAGAAGGCGCTGGTCGTCAGCGGTTACCGTGCAACCTCGTATACACTCGAAGCGGGAATTGTTTTCCACTCTATTTTTATTGGAATCGCCCTTGGGACAACACAAGATATTGAGGAGATCCAGAGTCTCGTCATAGCCCTCATGTTCCACCAGGTAAGATGGTCTGCACAGTGTAACACTATCCATCAACCCTCATGAAGCAGACCTTGAAGCTGTTACATTTCTGACCCTCATGCTTTGTAACTCTGACCTGTCATCCCTTTGTCCACGTTCAGGGTTTTGAGGGCATCAGTCTTGGCACAACGCTCATCCCCTGCCAGTTCTCCAAGCTCAAGACAGTCATCATGGGTCTCCTCTTCGCACTCACAACGCCCCTCGGTGTTGTCATCGGCCTCGCAATCTACTCCTCCTACAATCCTGCCAGCAAGGCCGCTCTTGCCACAGAGGGAGCTTTCAACGCTATCTCTGCCGGCATCCTCATTTACAACGGCCTCGTTGACCTCGTAGTGCCTGCTTTTGACGAGACTGACGAGAGTACACCCAAGGCTGCGGTGCCTTATTTCCTAGGGTTTGTGTCGCTCTTCCTGGGTGCCTTCTCTATGTGCCTGCTCGCCCTTTGGGCATAAGCTCTGGGCCAGCCAGAGCTCTGGCTGTTGTTGGGGACAACTACAACCAAACCCTGTTTTGGCCTTCAATTGGAAAAGAGTTGCGGGTCAACAAGATTGCTCAGCCCCTCAAGAAGAGGAGCTCTGTTCTATATCCAGTTTTGGTACGAGCAGCCAAGGCAAGCTTGTGGTTGGTTGGTTGCAAAATTGCAATGCAATGCCAAGTCTCCGTTTTGGTTCTGCTTGGTTGTAAAAGCCAAGTAAGCATGTGAAAGCAAGGTTGGGCTTGAGTCTGCAGCAGAGTTAGTCCAATGGAGTGCATGTCAGCTATGATTGAAAGCATAGTATCTATTTTTGTGCTTGGAATGGAAGCATATTTGGACACATATACTATATGTTTCAAAGAGATCGCGGAATGGTGTACTCATGCTAGTTGCAAGTGTTCTCTAAGAAAGTTTGAGTGCCTTCTGACGAAGTTTCGCTCGCCGGAACTTTCGAAGGACATGACATGGCAGTTGGACCATGCATTTACAACACCTAGACCGCGACATTTTCACAACCTGAAAACTTTCGAGTCAAACACGCCCAGCACGGCTTGAGTCTTGGGGTGATGAAAACCCCAAATTATTGTGTCTAGTTCTACTGGCAGAGTAGGGCGGAATCGAAGAGCACGCCCCTCGCACTGAAACAGTCATGCTGTGATTTTCGTCGAAACCCGTGAGAGTTCGCAGAGGCTCATAATGTTCGAGCCAGGAAAGTGCTCACGTTATTTCATTATTTGGTTGAGTCAGCCGCGGGTAGCCTTAAATCAAAGGGGTAAATAGTAAAATGTGTGAAGTTATCAGTAGTGAAGATGCCGCAGGTTAGGTGTGTTCCTCGGAGAAATAGTTCATTAGTTTTAGCTCCTGCATGTTTAGTTAGTTTCATCCTACGCACTGCCACCTCTAACCTCGTGCGACACATCCAGTGCAGGCGTTGTTCCTCCCTGTTTTCTCCATTGCTCTCCGAACGCTTCGCGCTAACATACGTGTACAGCCGCTATCACCTAACCGCTCCGGCGTCGTCGAACCTCATAGTGAGTTTCTCCCGTCCCGCCACGTGTCACCGCCATGTGTCACAAGACCCCGTGCAAGGCGTGCGGCAAGTACACTTGGATGGGATGCGGCATGCACGTGGAGAGCGTGTACAAGAGCATTCCCGAGGATAAGCGGTGCGCGTGCAAGCCGTGGCCGGGACTTAAGGAGGACGGCACTTGGGAGAAAAAATCCTGTTCCTTGCTGTGAGGACTATCAGCTTGGGGGAGGGGGAAGAATGCCTGCTCGCTGCCGTGACGAGGACAAGTGATGCGCGGGCAAGCCGTGGCCGGGACTGAAGGAGGACGGCACTTGGGAGACGACGAGCTGCTCGCTGCTGCGAGGAAGAGAATGTAAGGGGGAAGAAGCAGTGGTCGGTGTTATGAGGAGGACAAGCGGTGCCCGTGCAAGCTGTGGCTGGGACTTGGGGGGGGGGGACGGGACCTGGGGAAAGTAGTCCTACTCGCTGCTGTGGGGACGAAAAACGGCGGAAAGGCAAGACCACCTCGTTGCTGCGGCTTCAAGTAAGGCGCTGCCTCTTGATGTGCGGAGACACCGAGGAGGAGGAAATGGGGTGTTTGTTTGCTGTTCCGGTGACTGGGTCGGCCAGCCATGCACGGATGACCCTGCGAAGCCGCATGCCAGCTGCATGCCAGCTGCATGCCAGCTGCTCGTACATGCCAGCGGGATTCTCGCTGTTGCCCCATGCAGGCATCAGCTTCTCATGATGCTTCTCCTGTTCGGTACCCGCGGAAGTAGTGTTCGTGTTGGCAGGCCTTGCATTGAGGAGAATTCTGGAACAGGGTGCTCTCTTCTTCCATCCTCCCTTTGACTCGTAGTCACATACTAGCTGTTCGCGTACCTGGTTGTAAACTCGCCGCGTAGGCTCAAGATTCTCGCCTGGGTTTTAGTCTCCTTACCGAAAGTCTAGTAGCACCCGTATTATTCTGTTGGCTGGTTTGTTTGACTCCGCGTGGACTTTTGAGGCCTTGCGATAAGATTATTTCCAACATACTGTACCTCGTACAACTTTGACTAATTTGCAAGAATTTCCCGCTCCTTGCCGCGCTCTCTCCTTGCGCGTGCGGCGAAAAGCCAACTCGCGCTCTGTGCTGCACCTGTACGGGTTACCACACCAGGGTTTCGCGAGAGGCTTGCTGAAATCCCATTGCTAGCCCAAATCGCAGCCTGTCGCAGCATGGCGTCGCAGGCCCAGCCGCACGAGCCGCCCGGCGATCGTGCGACGATCGTGCACGACAGGGCGACGCACAAGTTCGCGACGAGCGACGGGCAGGCCTACGCGGAATACGCCCTCCTCCCGCCTCCCCCTTCGGCGGAAACTCCGGCAACTACGAGCGCGCCGACCGGCGTTGAAAGCGGCGTGACGAGCGGCGGGAAGAGCGGCGTAGAACGCGGCGTGATGGACATCCGGCACACGTACGTCCCTCCGTCTCGGCGCGGCGAGGGCCTGGCGGCTCGTCTGTGCGAAGCCGCGTTCGATTACGCCAAGGAAAACGGACTTTATGTGCGACCCACGTGCTCCTATGTCGAGGTGAGTACGGTCTAGGGTGGTACGGTGGAGTAGAGTATGGTTGAGGTGAGTACTACTATACACGAGTTACCTGTGACCGGACGGAGAACACCAAATCTAGCAGCAGCGGATCTACCGCCGGACAGTACAAAGTCACTGGCGCATGGTGACAGTCTATTCTTGAGGCCTCTAAGGTGACACAGCAGGCATGCGAGTGCAGAATAGGTACGTTGGTCGCATGGGGGATGCACTGATGGGAGGTCGTTTTCTCAGCTCCCCTGCCATCCCCCACCATCGTATGCCCCTCTGCATGCCCGTGCGTATGCCTCCGCTTTTCTCAAGGGCTGTTTGCCATGCTCCCACCCATCATCACATGCTCCCACCCCATCATGGCATGCTCCCACCCCATCGTCGCATGCTCCCACCCATCGTCGCATGCTCCCACCCCATCATCGCATGCTCCCACCCATCGTAGCATGCTCCCACCCATCGTCGCATGCTCCCACCCATCGTCGCATGCTCCCACCCATCGTCGCATGCTCCCACCCATCGTCGCATGCTCCCACCCCATCGTCGCATGCTCCCACCCATCGTCGCATGCTCCCACCCCATCGTCGCATGCTCCCACCCATCGTCGCATGCTCCCTCCCATCGTCGCATGCTCCCACCCCATCGTCGCATGCTCCCACCCCATCGTCGCATGCTCCCACCCCTTCGTCGCATGCTCCCACCCATCGTCGCATGCTCCCATCCCATCATCACATGCTCCCACCCCATCATCGCATGCTCCCACCCATCGTCGCATGCTCCCACCTCATCATCGCATGCTCCCACCCATCGTTGCATGCTCCCACCCCATCATCGCATGCTCCCACCCCATCATCGCATGCTCCCACCCATCGTCGCATGCTCCCACCCGGTCGTCGCATGCTTGCCTGTTGCTCTTCATCCGAGGCTTTCTCCCCTCCATCGGGTCACATCTGGTGTCATTCCATCTCTCTACATCATCTCTCCTAATCATATCATGACATCATCTCATGACATCGTATCATGACATGGTATCATGACATGGTATCATGACATGGTATCATGACATGGTATCATGACATGGTATCATGACGTGGTATCATGACGTGGTATGATGACGTGGTAGCATGACGTGGTATCATGACGTGGTAGCATGACGTGGTATCATGGCGTCGTATCATGGCGTCGTATCATGGCGTCGTATCATGGCGTCGTATCATGACATCGTATCATGACATCGTATCATGACATCGTTGCATGACATCGTTGCATGACATCGTTTCGTGACATCGTATCATGACATCGTATCGTATCATGACATCGTATCATGACATGATATCATGGCATCATATCATGACATCAGATCATGACACCATGACATCATATCATGACATCATCTCATGACATCATCTCATGACATCATATCATGACATCGTCTCATGGCCGCATCATACAAAAAAAGACCCTAAGAAAGGTCCTGCTGTTTTGAAAACCTTTTCTGAAAGGTTTTGGATGGCACCATCTCAAAAAGTGCCATCCAGAAATCCTGTTTTGGAGCTTCACATCAGATCATGAGACCATATCATGACACCTTGTCATGACACCATCTCATGACACCATATCATGACTCCATGTCATGACATCATACCATGACATCATACCATGACATCATCCATGTATCCCTTTAACAACAGGAGACCTTTCTGAAGCGCCATCCTGCGTGCCGTGACTGGCTGGAGCCCGGCGCACTGCGCCCCACGTTCTCCTTTGAAGCTGGCTCCTTACATTCAGAGGCCCCTCAACTTAGGACCTTTTAAACCTTGACACCCTGTGCCCTACAGTAACCCGAGTCCTACGGTAACCCCTGAGTCCAATGGTAACCCCTGAGACTGACAAGTTTTCTGACTCTTGCAGGATAGCCGTAGGTGCATGTGGAATCCAAGCAACATGTGTGATGTAGTATGGCACCTTCCACATGTAACAACCATCCGTGTTTGCTGGGGTGCTTGCACTTTCAGGTGTGTTTTGAAGTGACTCAAAACACACCTAGCCATCAGTACATGTGGCATCCAGGCAACATGTGCGATGTAGTAAGGCACCATCTGTACGTAACATTCGTCCGCGTTTGCTCACGTGCTTGCACTTCACCCGGTCTGTGTACATTGGTTTTCTGTAGCTTGCGGGTTGTGATGTGTCAATGGAAAAGAGAAAGTGCTTTTAGACGAGGGGTGGAGGCGAGTATGAGGAAAGGTCTTGTAGGACAAGTGCAGCAAGGATTTCATTTAATATGTATTCTATATTCCGGTACCGTATTCCCCCGGATAAAACACCTGCCGGAATTGAACACTCATGGGTGGTTTGAGCGAACCTGGGTGCTTAACTAAACTGGATATTTATACCACCCTACTTTTCAACATGAAACCAATACACCACCCCCCCAGCTTCTTTGCCTTCATTTTCTACAGCTTGGGGCTACGAACAATACAGATTTAGCAATTAACATTGCAGAGAGTGTCCTACAGCCTAACATATCAAGAGTTAGCACTAAACACCATGGTCAACTCCCTACCTATGATCACTACTCACATGGTGGTTGGGATCTTACAGGCCCCATCATATGGACGGCCACTGGTACTCGTCTACGTCGTCTTCAGCTTCATCTTCGTCATCACCTGCAACCCACATCTCCACGTCGCTGCCCTCTGCAAACTCTTCCCACCATCCGTCGTCCGCGTCATCAGCAATGCCCTCTGCTGGCCATTCCCTTTCCTCCTCTGCTGCAGCCTCTTCAAAGGCCTCTGCCACGTCTTCTTCGTCGTCTTCAGCATCTCCATCAGTGGGAGGCTTGAGGCTGTCGTCGAACAGGGGGTTGATGTACTCTGCTTCGCCCTCTTCAACATGCACGTCATAAAAAACTTCCACTTCCGGCTTGCCACGGAGATGGCTCAGGATCAGATTATCCTCTGAGCCGCCCAAGTCGTTAGAGATGCCGCAAGTCTTGAACGACTTGCGGATCAACTCCTCAGGGACGGCGGCCCAACTGCGAGCTATCCACTTGAGGATGAGCTCAGCTGGGGGCTTCTTGAGATTGCTCGCAGGGAATGGAATCACACGACCCAAATTGAGGATCAATTACTGGAGCCGCCGGCAGAGGTGAATTCAGGATCAATTAAACAGTTGACACAATCGGAAGCAGCGGTACACGAGACCCACCCTGCTTGGTCTTCTGCTCGATGCCACTAGTCTCAAACCAGCCGCCATAGTCACTCCTGACACCAGCCTTGAAGGACTTGTTCACTGCAACGTCTAACGGCTGCACCAGTGGGGTGCAGCCGCCGGGGATCACAGCACGCGTCAGCTTGCACAACTTCATAGTCTGCCCGACGGCCTGCGTGAGGTGGTCTTTGTAGGAATCTAGGATCACGAGAGCCTCCTTACGCTTGTTCCTCGAGTCTCGCAGAGGTTGAAGGAAGGGGTTGAGCAATTGAGTCGTCCAGTCCTGGACTAGGCTGTCGTCCATCCAACCCTTCGGCTGGGCTCGGATGACAACATCTGCATGCACATCGGACACGCAGTAAAGGGACGATGAGGATAGACAGCAAGGAACCGAGGGAAAATTCACCATCTGGGCTGGGCAGTAATGCTAGATATCACACTTACTGGGGGGGACTTGAATCTTTGGGAGGGTTTTCCTCTTGAAGATGACGTAGGCCGGTAGCTTCAGACCAGACGCCGTCACCGCCAGGATGACGGTGAGCCTCTCTTTCTCGTAGCACACGGTCCTCACATGGACCGTTCGTGACCCCTTGTGCTCCAGCGTCCTCTCCTGGGGCATTTCGATGAAGAGCGGAGTCTGGTCCGCATTCACGATGAGGTCGAGGCTGTTCTTGTTGAGCACGCGCATTTGGCGAACGAATTCCCATAATTTCTCGCATTTGTCGCGCATATCTGCCAGGTAAAACAAAGAACCGTGTTAGTTTGCACGAATTCCGAAGCGGGTGAATGAAATATGTAAAACGAGGACGTCCCTTGACAGTAGAGTGCAAAGGACTTACCATCGGCCAGTTTCTGGCCCATCTTCGTCTTAACACAACGAGACAGGCCCCATCGGGCCCGAAAGCGAAACGTCCACCTGCTGGAGGCGCGCCAGTCGATGTCGGGATGGTGGTGTCGCATGTAGGCACGGCTCCACTTCGGCAGCTGCTTGACGGAGACGGCGAGTCCTTTGCCGCGGTGCTTCAGAAACTGGCGGTAGAGGGCACGCTCCATTGCAAGGAATTTCGCTGGTCGTCCGGCCCCGACAAGACGCCTACGACAGCCGGCCGCGACGCGAAGCCGCTCGTGCGCCCTCTTCCATTCCCTGATGGACACAGGTTGCACTCCTACAAGCCTCGCCAACGCACGTACAGAGAGGTCAGTTTGTGAGTCAGACATCTGCAGCCAGAACAACTTTTCTTTCGCGGTGTACGACCGTCGTTTTTTCTTTGTCATCCTGCTGCGCGGCGACGGCGGAATAATGTCGTTATTTCTAGAGGGACCACGTTGGTGCCTAGGGGATGAGGGGAACCTTGGAACGTGGACGAGAGGCAGAGGAGCACGACCGTCGTTCGCGCCACTCGACTCGTCTGCCGTGGGAGTGCTGGCATCGCTGGCGGTGGGGATAGGGCTGCTGGGTGGCGATGTAACGGTAGGGCGAGCAGGAAGACGGAACAAGGTTTGCTGGCCATAAGGGCCACGCTGAGTGAAAAGATTGCTGAGGCCCGAGCCATTTGCCATAGCGCGTTGGAGCTATCCTAGCTGAGGGAAAGGATGCCCTCGACAACCCTTTCAGAGGTCGTTTTGAAGGCATCCTGACTCAAGAATGCGAAATGAGTTGGAAAAACTGCCTATACCCTCACCATGAACGGCTTGGAGGGGATGGAGGGGACGTGGGCGACTCCCTCATTCGAGCTGCTCACGACAGAGCCTTGACGACCATGCAGTAGGGGAGAATCCGTGTGCTGGTCGGCCCTGCTTGGGTCGTGAAGGAATCTGCAGCAGATTCCTTATTGCAGAGGTTTGTTGGCACATCGTGGCGTGGAGGTTGCCACCACGAGGTCACACCATGCCCCTATTGGCTGGAAAATGCAGGAGAACTGTGACGTAGCACGGTTTCACTTCCCACATGGCAGAAGATAGTCATCATCGACGTATACGCGATTATGCGGAAGAATCATCCAAAATTGGCTCAGCACAAGTCTGTGAAGTACACATCTTAATCCTGGTTTCATAACAGAAAAAATGTCATTCCATAGACCCCGGGCGTTGTACAAAAAGTGCCACTAATTACACCCCCACTAAATTTTGCACAAAAAGTTAGTGCCAGCCTAGGGTGTTTTATCCGGGGGATTACGGTACTAGTAGTATGTGTCCAGAACGGCTTTCTTTATGTACCCTTTTCAACGCATCAACGCATGCCACCTCTTCAGATCGTTATCAATGGATGCCGCATTAATAGCGAAGTGAACTCTAGGAATACGGTGGGATACCAGTATATGGTTTGTTGGGCTGAGAATAGCCCTAGGATCTATTCATAAGACTACGTCCTTGTAACCAGGCCACCAAATTGGTTTTGGGCTTGTCTGATTCATCAGACTTGCCTGCCATCTCTTGGTATGGCCTATCAGAAAGGAACTGGAGCGGAGAGCCTGCGGTCAAGAGGTAGAGGAGTGGGCTGTGCGGAGGAGAACTGAAGGCCGAACCTCTAAAGGACCTGGCGCACCAAGTGTGACTGAGTCAAAGTGATGGTGCACGCTACTCTGTCCCTGGAGATCTGCAAGCTAAGGTAGTGGCACAGTTCTCCAAGGTCAGTGCAAGTGTGTCTCTTCAGCAGCTTTGCCTTCACGGAGGCCAGTGCGTCCCTGTCTGCTGTGGCGAAGACCAGGTCGTCTACGTAAACAACGATGTAGAACGGGGTCTGGCAAGCACGAACGAAGAGCGAGGGGACTGCTAAGGACGGAAAGAACTGCAGGTCAGCAAGCGTAGCACGCAGCGTGTCGTGCCACTCACGGGGAGCCTGCCGCAGGCCGTAGACGGGGCACCGCAGGAGCCACTAGGTCCTAGGAGGGAAGGTACCAGTGAAGTCCTGAGGGCGGCGCAGGTAGACCTGCTCGTGTAGACTGCCCTGAAGAAACGCAGTGGAGAAGTCGAGGGAGTGAAGCTCGTAGTCATGCTGCGCTGCGACGTGTAGCAGCACCTGAACAGTAGTCGTCTTCGGGGTCGGAGCGAAGGTCTGGAAGAAGTCCACCCCCTCACGGCGACTGAAACCTCTAGCCACGTAGCGCGCCTTGAACACAGGCAGCTTTCCAGGAGGGCGCTTCACCTTGAAGAGCCAGCGGCCATCGACTACGTTCACCCCAGGTGGGGGAACTGCGTCGACGAAGGTGCCGGTGGATCTCCAAGATGCCATCTCCTGCTCCATGGCAGCTATCCACTGAGAGGCCCAGGGTCCCGAGACCGCCTCAGCGTAAGTGCAAGGGGTCGGGATGTCGAAAGCGTCGGGGTCACCCTCAGGGACTAGAAGCATAGAGCAGAGATGGGGAGCAGCCTCGGACAGGAAAGCAAGCTCGTACTGGCGGTCCTCGAAGACGTCACTGCCGAGGGCACGAGCACCCCCGACAGACGGAGGACAGGCAGGGTCAGAGACCAGAGCGGTGGCGTAGTCAAGGCGGCGGGTAGAGGCGAAGTCAGCGACCGCAGCGACAAGGGCGTCAAGGCTCGAAACCAGAACAGACGGGTCGGTAACGAGGGAGACAAGGACCCGAGGAACAAGAGGACGAGCGGCACGCAGGTAGTCAGACAGAGGGGGAGGAACAACGACAAGGGAGGACGGAGGGGACGACGGGAGAAGGGGAGGACAAGACGCGTGGGAACGAAGCAACATAGGGTGAGAGCGCGACACATGGGAGACAGGTCGAGCACGGGAGGGACGGCGAGACCAGACGTGAGACGGAGGAGTTGGGAAAGGGGACAGAGGAGGGGACACAAGAGGGGAACGAGGGGGGAAACGGGCCGGAGACGCGTCCGGAGGAGGAAACACAGGGCCGTAGACAGGAGGAGTAGGAGGCACAGGCACAGGGTCAAGGGACGGAAGGCCGAGCAGGCGAAGAGCGGACACCGGCAGGGACTGCTGCGGCGGCGGTGTGACACCGATACCGGGACCGCAAGCTGCCTGGCTGCTACCTCCAGAACACTCCACACCAGCACCCCCAGAAGGAACACTCCCAGAGCTCCGAACCCCTCGAGCACCGGTACCACCC